AATGACATATGCAAAAAATAAGAGTATTGTGAATAGGGACCAATTCCCAGTTTTTACATGATCAAAATTATTCACAAAAGGCTTCAATAAACAGAAAATGTGTACCGACAAGAGAACAGTGCACAAAAATGAAAAGATATTTGAGCTCGACGCTTTAATGTGTTTAGCATGACTTAGTCAGCAGTCCGCACAGTACAGGTAGTACAAGCACACCTGAAAACACTGACCAGCTAACAGCTTTAAGAATTTGGGCGCAACCTCGGTGGTTCACCGATTCACCTGTTGCAAACGTCCAAGTTTCTTTTAAGTCTCATAAATCCTAAATAAATAAATAAACTATTACCTAACTAGTCTTTTGAGTCTCCACATTCATAGATATTGACATTTTGTCTTAGCATTTGAATGAAAATATTCTGGTAGTGTAGCTTAAAAGTCAAAACAAACAGTAATAAGAACGCATTTCGGACTTCTCTCGAATAAGTGAAAAAAACACTTACCTTCAGACTGATTAGCTGGTTCCGATCCAACTTTAATGTGTCCCATGTCAGTCCGTTTTAGGGAAGAAGTGTTAAGTGGTTTCATTTAATTTTGAGATACTCCCGCATGGACGAGCAATTTGGAGTCTAGCAGAGTTATCACGAATAGCATATGATCTTCAGATATAATCCAATCAACCTTGCATTTAACCCGATTGAACATAATGTGTTACATTATCACGTATATCCAGGACATCTCTTCTGAACCAAGACAAAGTGGTGCTACAAAGGAATTATTTGTTTAGGAGAGTGCATTTAATAGCAGTCTGTCCTGCAACAAAATGCACCGCTAAATATACAGTTTCTGCTTGTCCCAGGATTTATTAATTTTGAGAGTGAAGTTGTAGAACTGATGCTGGTTAGTGGTGTAGGTTTCATGGATGTGACACCTTAACTTGTGTAAAATGACGACCAGAGCATATTATTAGGTTAGTTCACTGTAGTTAAACTTAAAAAGTACCACCTTATACAAAACAAATGAAGGTCCAGTATAAACAAGAATAAGAAGAGAAAAAAAGGAACATCCTGCTAAATTAAGTCATTTTTAAACATTACTCTAAATGTAGCCATTAGTATTTGTTGCTGGCCATACAAAAAATAAGTATACTTCAATTATATTTCCCAAGTATACCTTACGTAGTACGTATACTAATAATGCTCTTTGGGACTATATTGGCCCCCGTTTTAGTACATAACAGTATTCTTGAAATTAACTTTTAGATGTACTTTTTGTTCACCATAATTGTACTAGCATAATGTCATAATGTCTACAAGAGTATAATTAAAATATACTAGACTCTATCACAATACTAACCTTACAAGTATACTATTAATTAATAGTATTAATAATGTTTCACATTGTTTGAATAAACAAATACATTTATTAATATATGAGGTTCCATTCAGCTCAAGGAATTAAATTTTAGTGTGGCTGCAACTTACTCCTTAAGTTAAAAATTGTGCTGTATATTGTAGTTTATATGTTATACTACTTTCACAGTGAATCACATTTTATAGTAATACACTCTGAATGAGGATTTAAGTAATTACTCTTAGATCTACAGTAGAAAACAGCAGAAATCCGGATGGTGTAATAGTATAATCTCAGTAACATCACCAATTGTTACATTTGCTGTATTTTACAGCTGTTTCCATGAGTACGGTGAGTTACCGTAAAAATAATGTAATCTCATGGAATTTTCCCACAAATACATGCAAATTACAGTACTAAACTGCTAACATCCTTTAGAGTTTTTTACTGTTGATTTTGCAGTACTAAGCTATGGAAATTACTGCAAAGGCTAACAGTGCACCCTAGTTTTGAACTGTGTGTGTCGTATGCACCTCGGGCTCCCCAGAACAATATGATAACCCCGGCTGTTTAAAAATGAACCCCATCCTTAAGATCCAAGCAATCATGAAACAATATCTTGACTTCTTTTTTAAAACTTTTACATTTTTTTTTTAAAACAGGAGAAAGCAAAGCGAGGGAAGTAAAAATAGACAAACCGAAAATAATTCCAATGATCATAGCAGTAAAAGAGAAAAGTTGAAAATAAGCAAGATGAAAGCCACAGTGACGACTCTAGTTGATGTTCTATTTTCATGTACGGTCACAAAATAATCCAGACAGTGAAAGAGAGCTGAAATTGAGATTATAACAGAAGTGATGTTGCTACTAACCATCCAAGCACTCAAGAACAGAACTGAAATAATGTCTTACAACAGATATTAATTATCTCATGTATGAGTATTCCTGTTATTAAATAAATAGCTGCCGCAGAGATTTTACATTATGTGTATTGCAGCAAATTTTATGCATTGATAATAGATTGTAATACATTTTCAATACAATTATGCTGAGCAAAATTAGAATAGCTAATGCATAACACTCAGATGTTTAAATACTTTAGCACTGCAGTTTTTCCCCGCTGAACAGTTAGCCTTGTAAACCTCTATCTACTCTGTGAAAGGATGAGGAGTGTTTTCATATGAATCCACATAAGCACCGCAGACCCATCTGGGTGGTATTAACTGCAGGACACAAATCACAAAGGCACCGTTCCACCTGCTCCTCTCCTTCTTCTCTTTACGTCGCCAATTTGTCTCTGAATTCAGCCTCTGGTTGCACAAGCATTTCTGTCATTTATCCTTGTTAAAGATTCTGCACTGCTCCCTTCGCACTCCTCTGTTGTTATCTATTCTCTTCCTTCTTGGCTTCGGTGGTAGGTGCCTTCTATATTCTGTCATTTACCCTCCCTCTGTGCTACCCTTTTCTGAAGCCTTGCACCTGATATCTTTCTGCTGTGGTGTTCCCCCTTAAACCTCTTACCAAGTAGAATCGAGCATGTGAAGAGCTGACATGAATTCCCAAGGCCAGAATATCTGAGTGACATGTGGAATGGACTCAGTGAGATGAATTTCTGATAGCCATGTGTGCGTGTGCATATGTGCTAGGGTCAGTGGCAGTAAATAGGAGCTGTCACGGAAGTTAGAATTGATTTCTTTCCTATAAAAGAGATAACATGTTCTGTGAGCACAAAAGCAACTTGGGCAGACAAAAAAGCCAGTTGCACGCACACTTTGTGGGATAGCTGTGTTGCATTTTAATTTTGTGTGAAAGGCTTTTTTGGGTTTTGTTGTTTGTTGTTATTATGAATAAAGTGAGTCCTTAGCAGGGAGTCCAAAGTGTTTGTTTGATGGATTAAAGCTCAATCTGCTGTTAAAGAATGTCCTTGCTGCAGGGAAAGGAAGGTGTTTTTATGCGTGTTCGTTTACAGGTATGCAAGCCCGTGTGTTAGTGGTTCCTGTGCGTTTTAACCTCTCTGTTATTTGTCATCCTCCCTTTCAGAGGTCCTTTCGTTCCTTCAGTAACGATGACCGCCACGTCATGGCGAAACACTCCACCATCTACCCCTCCTCTCAAGAGCTGGAAGCAGTTCAGACACTGGTATCCACTGTCGAGTGTGCCCTCAAACATGTCTCTGATTGGCTGGATCAGAGCAGCTGCGAAGTCCACAACCAGTTTGACAGCCAACCAGCAGACAGCACAGAGGAGGACGACCCTGGTGTTGAGCCCAGCGAAGAAACTGAGGATTCAAGTGATTGCTACAGGTAGGCAGAAGAAACGCACAGTGGGCTTTAATTCATAATTTTTGTTGATGTTTTTTTCAGTTAATGGATTATTTTGTCACTCAAACACAAAATAATTATTTTGTCAAACCTACAAACCATAACCAAAGACGTTTAATGTATTACATCAACAGTTCGGTAAATATACCTATGCCTTTAAAGCTCACTAAAAACATTTTGACACATGAGCTTCGGACAACATCAGCATAATAATAATCAATCAAGTGTCTCACTACTAAAAATAAAGTTAACATGGGTCTATGCCTGGATGGAGCATGCAGGAGGCATGGACACATGACATCCACGCCAATGCTACTACGGACAGTTATCTGCTCTATCCTCTGAAATTTGCATTCTCACATTTGGTGCCTCCTAAACGAGAGTTCACTCCTCTTTTAAACACTAAAGTGTCAAGTGTACAAGTTGTGGATTTAGTTTAGGTTTTGTACAGGGGAAATGACTTCCTAGAGAGATGTCATCACTTACTTTGAGCCACCAGGGACTTTAGAAAAGATAAGATTGTTCTATCTCTCCACATGTTGAGGAAATTCTGTGGCAAATAGCTGCATTTTTAAAAAGAAAGGCACAGTTGAGAAGCCTGAATTTCTTCATTCTTACGTCACATAAACAACTTTAGATTTGTTGTTTATTCTTCTTTTGCAACCTAGAGTACTGAGTCACTGACAAAAAAATGTTGGCACTTATTAGTGTTGTTTACTTCTCAGAGACTGTTCATGCTAAATACTTTTTTATGCAGAAGGAAGAAATAAGTTAAACGCACTTCTCTGAGGTAGAAGGAGCATATGTTGCTCAACAGGAAATGAAACGGCCTCCACTGGGGGCTCCTTCTTCTTGAATCTTTTTATTAATGGTTCAGTAGTTTTCATTGATATCTTGAATTGCCTTGTCTGATCTTATTTTGCTGTGTGAATTGGAATTTTAGTATTTTAATCTTTCAAACACTTTTGTGTTTGTTAGAGATTCAGATATTACGCTGATGAAAAGAGGTTTGGATCTCCCGTTGAGTCGACTTCATGCCTGCAGTGCAGTTCTGTTTGTCAGGTCTCGCACAAAATTGTAGGTTAATTTTATAACAAGGTTATTTTTCTCGTTCATCGTATTTAACTCCCTGAGAACTAAGCATGGATTCTGTCTTTGATATTTACTAGTTATGAATTAAAATGTTCATATGCACATAGCTTAAAATCTCATACAAGAGAAGACTTTATATATTTATTTATGTGTTTACAGGGAGTCCAGCGGTGGCGGCTTGTTGTGTGGAGTGATGAGGATCGGCCTAGTGGCCAAAGGACTCCTGATCAAAGGCGACATGGACCTGGAGCTGGTGCTGATGTGCAGAGACAAACCCACACAGACATTGCTGGACACTGTCTGTCACAATTTACCCACACAGATTGAGGTTAGAGACACACACACAAATGCACCGAGACATGCATGCTTCTCTTGTTTTTTCACTTTCACCTTTAATCTTTGCATTAAACCCACAATCACATCAGTCTGACAAATGTAATCCAGGAATGCACTATATTTACATCACACTCTTCTTCAATGTCAGAAATTAAGCCGTTTAAATAAGCTTCTACATTTTCTTCCTGAATTCACCAGCTCTCACTGTGTTGTGCTTGTGAGTGTTGAGGAGAGTGTCATGAGTGGTAGCGTGAGCATAAGTAGACAAGTGAAAGCAATATTGTCAAGTGAGAAGTTGAGAGGTGTTTGAGTATGTATGAATCATGTGTGATTAATACTCTCGTCATTATGTCAGTGTCACATTTCCTCATTAATAAGTCATGGCAAAGAAGTGAGGTCCTGACTTTCACACATACAAGATACACACACATACACTTACAAACACACACACAATACAGCTCTCTGAAGGACAAGTATCTCTTTTTTACAACCTGTGACTTTGACCCCTGTTTGTTTTATAATCTAGGACTTATACCATCTGTTGTTTCAGTTGGGTTACACACCATTTAAATTATTTCATTTGTAGGATATACATCACTGCAGCCTGGTGAGGGGCTCTGACTGGAAGGGAAGGATTTAGCAATATAACAACAAATGTAGGGAAACACTTTCCAACGTGGCTGGCAAGTGCAGAAATTACCCAATAAATAAATAGTGCCAGAGCACAACCTCTCTGCTCACAATTACATTTTGAGGTGGAGATGGAGAAAAAGAGCGTGTGTGTGTGTGTGTGTGTGTGTGTGTGTGTGTGTGTGTGTGTGTGTGTGTTTCCTGTGAGAAATAATCTCATGTTGCGGCCCAGTGACCAGCGATTTTGAATTTCCCATCAGAGCCAAATGGGATGTAGATGGGCCCTCTGTGACTCACTGCTCATTTAAAGGGCAGCTGGTATGTAGACATAAACCCAGATATACTTGTTTTTGTCACTTATAAAAACTAGGTAGCTTATTTTCCTTTAATGTTGTTTTCTAGACTTAATCTGGCTTAATCTTGTCTGCTACTCATGGCCAACTCAAGCTTAAATTTAGCTGAAGAGGGTAAGGTCTGCTTTGGGCTATTACAAAGACTTGAATTCACTGTAATTTCAACCGTTACAGTACACTGAGACTTAAAGTGCACATAACTGTGGCTGACTGGTTCACAGAAGGCAGGCAAGAAAATGATTGGACTCAATTAATGATGTCAGAATTGTGTTTGACAGCGTGAAAGTTCGACTTGTTGTAAAGAACAGACTAGCAGCCCGAACACTCAGGAACGCAGGCAAACAAGCGAATACAGATCTTCCTTATTTAACTTACACATAAGTTTTATTTGACATCCCTTTATTCAATATTTTTAATCACCCATGACTGTATATGCTTCATCTGGGCCTCTGTGTGTACTGATCTTTGCATGTCTTGTAGGTGATATTAAGCGTGTTAATTTGTTTAAGTTTGTTCTATACAGTACAGGTGTGTTAAGTAACGGTTGTGGCTGCTGCGTATGCTGACATGAACATATTAGCATAAGTCATCATGTCATAGTGCTGACCAGCGAGGTCAACTGTAATTAATTTCTTCAGAACGAAGGTTGAATGAGGCACAGTGTGCACATAGAGAAACAAATGGGTGTTGAGAAAAATACATAAACAGTGTCTGCAAAACTTATACAGAAGATTCGCCAGATTTCATCAGATATTACTTGATATCTGTGTCTTCAGTAGATTTTACAGCTCTTCCAGAGTTTTATATAAAGGCTATTTGATAATTAGACGCAGAAATTGGGAGTCTATATTCTAACCTGCCAGTGATTTGAAAAAAAAAAGGAAATATTTTTTGAAGGGTCCATGCGATCTTTCTGTCTTCTTACACAGTCAGTTCTGTGGTCAGAAGTATCCCTGGGTGTTTTTATGGTGTCCACAAGACTAACTACCATCACTCATTTATTTTCCCCTTATTAAATCTCCTGTCGTAACTAGTGATGTTGTTGTGGTGTGCTTAAGCCGCACAATGCTGAAATATATTTTGCTTCTTCATCTGTGCTGTGTCATATTGTGGCCTTGGCCTCTTGACTATCGAGTTATGTCTGTTGACACACAACAGAAGCTGACAGAAGAGAAATATGAGGTCACAAGCTCGTTGCCTGAGGCGGCCATCTTGGTAAAAACGACAACAGAGCCTAAACTCACTTTGAAGATTACCCTCACCTCACCGGCCATGAGGGAAGATGACGAGGAAGAAGAGGAGGAGGAGGAATTGGAGGAGGAAGAGCAGGAGCTGGAGAATGGGGAAGAAGGAGAAGAGGTGGTGGAGGGGGAAGTGGAGGAAGAAGAGGAAGACCCAGAAAGCAAAAATGGACAAGGTAGGAGCATAGGAATAGGAAAGTTGTTCTCTGTTTGACCACACCCAGCACATGCACAATCAATTGGTCTTTGTGTTAACTATGTATATGTTATTAGAAAACTCCACTTTTTTTGTCAGACAAGAGGTTTGACCTCATGAACTGATGCTGACACAGGACAAGACAGGTACAGGCAGAGGTGGGTAGAGTAGCCAATCATATTTCAGAAAAACAAATACTCAAGATGAATTTTTTAAAAATGTCGACATTATTTTACTGATTTGACAGCCTGCTACACGGTGATCCAGGTTAGTTGCTTTCAAGTGTGTAAGTAGAACTTTCTTCATATGATAGAAAACTAGTATTACACAGTGCTTAGAGTCGTCAAAGATGACAAAAAAAATCTCCACAAACAAGATGCTGCAGACAAAAATATATAAATGTCAAAGCAAGGAAGCATTAATAAAGATCTAAACCCCTGAGGATAGCTGGTCCCTAATCTAGGAGCCAAGAAAAATGCTCATTCACCACAAATCTCAAACTTTAAGTGGGCCAAAGCCAGGAGCTGTGAACCTATCAGTGGCCAACAGGCTGCTAATAGGTAGGAGATCAAAACAGCATTGTTCTTAAGAAGTAGTGAGTGGATTAACAGTTTTTAATGTCACTCCTGATTTTCACAGAAAACCTGTGTAACAAGATCGAGGTGATAAGAGATTAAGCAGCTGAACTTTGGAACAAGTGCAGCGACATCTTGGCTGGAACAAGTATTAAGTGTATTACGATAGCCATTAGTTGATTCGATAGAACAGCGTTTGTTTGTTAAACCTTTTGGAAAAGGGAGACACAGTTTGTCAATAATTCTTAAAGGAGAATTTATTTTAACCTGGATCGTTTGTCATTAAGGTTGAAGAGATTTAGGGTAGCAAGGAGCCACACAAATCTGGCAACTCGTCAGCTGACCAAATCATTGTTTGTGTGTAAGGGCATGGAATTTTATTAACATTACTCTACATTATATACACCAGTAAGTAAAGATGTTTTTAAATTGCATATAATTTTCCTTTCCACTGTCGCTAAGTACTTGCTTAAATGGGGTCGTTTGATTTTTGTTTTTTTTCTCTGTATTATTGTAGGATCTTTACTTTACAGTAAGAAGCACCTTGAGGCAACTGCTGTTGTGATTTGGTGCTATATAAATGAAATTTAGTGAATTTTAAGTAGAGAGCTTTTCTACTCTATGCCCCATTCACAACAGTACTTTTTTTTGGCAACCAGGAATCGAACCACCACCCTTCCATTTAGCAGATGACCTGTGCTACCTCCTGAGCTACAGACCCAGTAGTGCAGCCCACACATTGACTGTTCGTCAGTCTGTCTGGTTAATTTGAATTGGAAAGCCAAATTCCAAGAATAAAGGAGAATAAAGTTTGGCCAGTGATGTTTTGTCTCTTGAATCTGCCACTGTAGCAGCAGCAGTTTGTCATGGCTTGGTTTTAATAAGATATCAGAGCTTGTTGCATTAATGCCTGAATTAGTCCCATTATCCAAACCAATTATTACAGAAATATACTGCTCCAAAATGTTTCAGTTACTCTAGTTACTTTATGACATTTTACAAAGTAATTAAGTAAAATCGAGCTGAAAGGCTCTGGTGTTGAGTCTGTAAACAACCCATCCCCATTCCCCTGTTTTCATGTGTAGCAGTTACTGGTTATAATTGGTTGTGGGATGTAAGATTGGGAACCAAGGCCAGCAGGCCAGCGAAATCAATAAGCAGCCAGTAGCAAGCTGCCCATCTATCCTGTGGCTCTCATCCAACTAGACACTCAGGTCTCAGAGAGAGATGAGCGATAGCACGAAGGTTTGCCGTACATCATTCCAGATGCCTCGGCATGATAGAGAGGACCCCTCGTATTTTCTCACCAAGGGGAACACATCGGTTTGCACACGTGTTCACTCAGCTGCAAGGAGGAGGAGGAGGCCACACACACAGTCATATTTTGTAAAAATACCTGTCACACTGGATATCTAACTCTACAGATTTATGGCGATCATATTTTAAAGTGCAGGGTCAAATACTTTTCACATTAACACATGCAACAGCCGGCATAAACACCGGTGGTTTAAGACCAGTGGCAGTGCCTGTTTTAGCTCCGTTTAGGCTTGTCAGGAAATGATTAGCAACATATTAGGGAGATTAATTATCCCTAAAAAAATTTGTTAACAAAAACTTTCCATGTTTCCACAAATGCAGATTGTTTCCATAAGCTCTAGCTGAAATGTTAGACGGGTGAATTATGTCTTCTCAGCTGATAACAGGTGATCATTTATACAGTATTTTCCAGTCACTTTAATCCCATTTGGGAATTGGGGTTAATGTTAGCAGGGTTAATTTTATACATTTGACAAGTTAAATTTTCATGCTACAGATAAATATTTTATTGAAGATATGCACATGTTTTGCATGCATGTGTGTGCTTTACTCACTGATGCAGCTCACTTGCTTTGTGTGGTAAAGGGGCGGGGGGGTTCACTCCTTTTTTTATTTTTTTAAATCTCCCTCTGTACTCAGTTATAAAGGGTAATACAGACAGAGATAATGATAAAAGAAGAGCGCTGATTGAGAGAAGAGGGGGAGGACAAGCGAGAAGAGAAAGACTAATGATCTGCTAGTAGCTGAGCTGTCCAACACACAGCTGGGCCCAGTCTGACAGACCTTAGGATTTACCAGGACACGTCACACTGAAACATAGATTGCACACTAAGGCATGCCATTGTCAGGAAATGCTACACTGCATTTTATAACGCAAGATGAATGCTTTCACTCCGGCACGCATCGGACGCATTTGACATTTAAAATTAATGCCTCTCGAGGCTAGGATTTTCTTTTTATGGGAGACTGATGAGAAAAATATTTACCTAGTTGTGTTTTCATAGAGCCCCAAAGGGCTCTTTAATGTGTTTTATTTTATCTCCAGTTGGTCCCGCGCACAATAAAACCTTCTTTGGAAACCCCATGTAACGGCATTCATTCATACACAGCTGCGTTTGATTCAGCTTGCCGTGCATATCACAGACTTTGTGCTGTTTCTCAAGTAGCAGGCCAGTTGAAGCTGCACTAACCCAGCAAGCCCTGTGTGTAGGGCAGCATGAATCAAATGCTTACATATAAAAGTATAATGCTCTACTTTTACCAACCATGATGCTCTGACTAAACCCTGCCTTGATCCCTCTTGTGTTGTGTTTGTCTCAGACTGGGTCAAACTATCTTAGATTTTTTTTTCTTTTCCTTTTCAGTTCTACTTTAGGAGCGCTTGATTCTGTGTTTGCCCAGACAGGTTGTTGAATTGCTTTCTCTGCACCATCATTTTCTCTATGAGCCTGTGAAAATCAAGTGCACCTTAAGTAATGCAGAAGACAAACAAAACTGCTATTTTGACTCCTGCCTGGTGCAGACTGGATCAAAATAAATAAAATCCTTGTCAAATACATAAAGGAGAGATTGATTTACATTGCTGGGAACAATAAAAATGACTCGATATGCTCTAACTGTGCTCACACACAGTAAATCAAACACTCCTTAGGTATTTGTTTTGTGTATGTCTGTGGGGGGGGCTCTCCATCCCACAAAGTTGTCTCTTCTTTTGTAACATTGGTTGCTCTGATGTTTTTTTTTAGCCACTGAGTGGATTTAAAATACTAAACCGCTATTCAGTAGTTTGTGCAATTTTCAACACATCTCTTTCTAGGATGGACAGTAAATTTATGATAATATGTGGTGCAGTCAACACACATTTGACTCATCCTAGTGTTGAAAATGGCACTCCATTTAAAGAGTGAGGAGCCCTTGATGGGCATCCATTGCGGATCTGTAATCCGTGCAGCGAGTGAGCACTTTGTACAAGGAGAGAGCAACTTTATGGCATGAAAAGCACCTTGTATGTACCAAAAATATCCATGCATGTGTGTGTGTATGTATGCTCGCGCACACGACTTCGGGTGTGTCTGCGTACATTCACGCGCGCAACACTCAAACACACACACTCAAAGCTGACGTGTGTGTGTTTTACGTTCTCTATATTGGGTTGTTATTGTTTCGTGGCAGTGTTGGGTGCTGCTGCGCAGAGAGTGGAGGCTGAGGAGGAGGAGGAGGGGGAGGTGCTGGATAGACACAGATGTCTGTTGGCCCTGGCAGCGCTGCGACACGCCAAGTGGTTCCAGGTCGGCACCCACTCACTTCCTGTCTTCGTGCCCGATGCTTATTGTAGCCTGACGACTCACCCAGAGAGAATAGTCAGATAGAACTATACTGCCTGTTATGCACACCCAGGGAGTGTAAATGTACTGATTTTACTAAAATAGTAAAATTGAATGTGTATGTTAGAACAAATGCAAATGCACTAATGTTTTCTTTTGTCCTCTAATTTGCATTTTCAGTTTGCAGGATGTTGTTTTGCAACATCATGGCAAAAAAAGCCACTTTATACATACCTGCTCCAAAAGTTTAGTGTAGAGCTGGAAAAGGGTGAGATTAAAAGTTTTTTGTAAAAAAGTATCGTAGGGCTACAAAAGCAATGGTTGATACTTGTTTTTCTTTTTGGCAATTATGTGAACCTGCCTGCTCCGTACAACATGTCAGTGCTTCCCTTCAATTCTCCTTCCATACCCCTTCCCATCTATCTCCCGACTCATTTACCTTATTGGCAAAAAGAAAGAAGAGGAAACAAAAGAAAATAGTGGTAGCCTGTGTATATTCTAGAGACAAACACAAAACACAAAGAAAAAATAATAATAATGAGAAATAATAATTAACATATATGTTCAGTAAACTAATTCAACATCTTTCGCGACACAGAGTTTTAGAAAGATCCAGTCGCTTCATTTTGACTGTGGCTTTGTGATTTTCTGCAGGCGGTAGTCTGTATGTGTTTGAACAAATACCACTGCTCCTATACTCAGTTTGTTCCCTTTTCTCCTCTCCTTTAATCTTCCTCTTTGCCTCCCTCTGTCTTTCCCTTCCACCATCTCAGGCTCGAGTGAATGGACTCAAGTCCTGCGTTATCGTTCTCAGGATACTAAGGGATATGTGCAATAGACATCCCATCTGGGAACCTCTGAAGGGATGGGTGAGTGTTGTGCTCGCCTTGTTGCTCCTGTGTTCAATTACTTATCATCTGTAAATCACGTGTTTTATGCTAAAAACTAGGCAATGTATATAAATGAAACAGGTTACAAATGGAAGTCAAAGAACTGCCACAGCTGCTACACCCTCTACAATATGCCTTTTGTAGATACGCTATTGACATTGCACTTCACACTCAGTCTTAGTGACATGAAAACTGTTTCTCTTTTAGCACATAAGCACAATGTGGTGATAAATGTTGAAACGATGGTGCAGAAAGCTACATCTAGTCAGAAGGAAAAACTGGGGGATAAAGTTCCATCCATCCATTCGCTTCCGCTTATCCTTTTCAGGGTCGCGAAAGGCAGGGTACACCCTGGACAGGTCGCCAGTCAGTCGCAGGGCTAACACACAGGGACAGACAACCATTCACACCTAGTGGCAATTTGGATTATCCAATTAACCTATCCCCACAAGCTGCATGTCTTTGGACGGTGGGAGGAAGCCGGAGTACCCGGAGAGAACCCACGCAAACACAGGGAGAACATGCAAACTCCACACAGAAAGACCCCGGCCTGATGGTGGAATTGAACTCAGGGCCTTCTTGCTGTGCGGCAACAGTGCTAACCACCGTGCCACCGTGCTGCCTCACAAATTCATCTACGTGAGGCATTTTGTAAAGCTTATATCAGCCCTAGCAGTTGTTTCACTTAAATCTCTACATTTTGACAATAACAATATTTTGAGTTTAATCTGGAAATTTTGACTTTATTCTCCACATTAACAATAATAATTTTGTTTCTTTAGTGACCTTCATGCTCCTTCATAATACATCACACAATAGCAGCAGATTTGTCGGCCACACTTTTTTCTTATGTTCTGTGGTCTAATTTTTGCAGATCCCATACAAACTAAAGCCTCAGTTTTCTGTTCTTACCTAACAAGGGTGGCATCGGGTTCCTGCGGCTGGAGCCCATCTGCTCCAAAATTCAGTGTTGTGCATTCAGAGACACTTTTGTGCATATCTCAGTTGTAAAAATTGGTTATTTTGCATTCCCTTTCTATCAGCTTAAAGCAATCCGACCATTCTCCTCTGACATCAACAAGCCCAGCCAAGCCCATTTCTTTAAAGTTTACAGATGGTTGTGTGGAGAAACCCCAGTAGATCATCATTTTCTGAAATACTTAGACCAGTCCGTCTAGCATCACCAACCATGCCACATTCACAATCACCTAAATCAACCTTCTTCCCCATGCTCAGTTTGAACTCGATCAGGTCTTCCTGACCACGTCTACATGCCGAATGCACTGAGTTGCCATGTAACTAATTCGAAATTTCTGTTGAATGGGTGTACCTAGCAGCAAAGTGGTCAGTGAATGTACCTTTTAATGACATATCACCCACATTTCTCTATTATTGCATGCTTATCTGTTTTTATGTCAACTTTTTTCACAGCCCTTGGAGCTTATCTGTGAGAAAGCCATTGCCACCTGCAACAGACCCCTTGGGGCAGGAGAAGCGCTGCGCAGAGTCATGGAGTGTCTGGCCTCAGGCATACTGCTCCCAGGTACTTGGTGTGGTGTATTCATGAAGGAATTTGGCTACGTTCACACTGCAGGCGAAAGCGCATCAAATCGCTTTGAGCGTTCACACTAGAGCGCGTTTGCTGCCGCATTTTATTTGTAGTGTGAACAAGCATACAAAAAAATCAGATTTGATCAAAAAATTGGAGTTGAACGTAGCCTTAGTGACTGCAAAGGTTTGAGTAGATGAGGATGTATTTTCATACAGTTTTCTGGCATTTCTTACCAGGAGAGCTAAATAAAGTTCTTAATGTGGGTAGATGAGGAGATATATCACAGCTCTGCTTGACACATTTTTGAGCAGTTTTTAAGAGAGGTCGAGACATTATAAATGACCCAGCAGAGCACAGCTGTCTGAGGCAGGTCATCATTATTATTATGGAAGCATCTTAATTAGAGCTAGCTTAATGGCTTCTTTGCAAAGTGTTCTGCATCACTGGGTAAAATTGTCTTTGAATAAAGCTAATTTACTTTGGATCAAAAACCAGTGTTCTCCTCTCGGACTGGTGCTTTTCAAGTGCCTACTTTGAAGGACTGAAAGGAGCTATTTAAAAGTGGAAGAGTGGAAATTTAACAAACTGCAAATAAAAAATAACCCATTTTAATTCAAAGGGAAATGTATGCCACACTAGAAGGAGAATGTTTATTTACCTACAAGATGTTTTTCTCCATTCATTTTAATTCTCAAGATTTTCACTGTCTCTTTTAAAGTCAAGCCCAATTAAATGCTGCTGAGCTGCACCGTCGGCATAGAAAGTGACAATGACTGACTTAGCATGTCTGTGTGTCACTTCCCCCAGGAGGCCCAGGTTTACACGACCCGTGTGAGAAAGAGCCAACAAACACACTCGCCAGCATGACTGACCAGCAGGCTGAGGACATTACCTTCAGTGCACAGGTACACACGTACAATGTAGTTTAACTATGGCATTGCTATCACCCAGTGCTTCTTGCCCTGAGCTGGCAGTGTGTGGGAATCACTCAGCAATATGCCCATTAGCAAGACAGGAAGACCTCATTGCTGCCCCAACCACTCATTCTGCGAGCACACACACACACACACTTACATTCAGTCACCAGAAAGAGCTGTGTGGTGCCGCATTTTAATGATTGGTGTGGGAAGCTATTGCCATTGCAAGCCATAAATCCATCTCTGACACCTCGAGGACAGTATTTATGCGCGTGTGGTATTTGTGTGTGTGTGTGCGTGTGCCGTCATGTCCTTTGACACACACACTTGAGCGAGCAGGGCAGCCTCTGAGCCTCGTGGCTTAGTGAATCTTGCCGTCCATTTCCTTTTGAAGGCAGCCTGGACGAGGCTGGAATGTCAATGGGGATAATTGCATTGGAGCAGATACAAGAGCAGATAGGAGAGAGGGAGCTGTTCTGTCAATGAGCTGCACCAGGTGTCATTAATATCTGAGACACTCTACCCCCCTAATAGATTTATATTAGCAGAGTCTCTATGTGCCATTTGGTTATCTGTTTGTGTAGAATAGGGATGCATGTAAGACACTGAGCATGATAAGTTAACATAAAGACAAATGAGTCATTATGGTTGAATTTGGGTACAGTTTTGGTGCTTTGTGGTGCAAGATAAGAAAGTGTTTTGAGGTTTTTTTTTTTAAATTGTATATTTAGAAGTTTGCCCATGCATTATCCAGCTTTATACTCCTATGTATTGCAGATTCACTTAAGTACAAAATGTCCATTGTTGTTTAAGTTAATTTGTGTTGTGACAAATTAACTTAAAGAACTGTTGTTACTCCTCATCGGAACAGTTCTTCTGTCTCAGATATTCAGGATATAGCAAACAGCACAGACGTGCTGTGAGTTATCACAGAGTAAAGAGTGAAGGAGCTTCTTACATGTGTTTATCGACTCTAGGCTATACATAAGTTAAACATTGTAGGATATTTTGACTCTCTTTACTTAGACTTAAAGAGTAACTCCACCAGTTGCATCCTTTTTAATGTTTTATACTGTTTTTAAAATAATTTAATAATGTTTTATAATGCTAGTAAACATCTTGAATACTGCACGCTGTGCCTCTGTTGACATCAAATCTGTCTTGGTTCAAATGCGTTTCTCAGCTTTCATCATCTTTCTTTTTGTGTATGGTGCGTGATTTGTGTTCAACAGCATGCTCTCAGGCTCATGGCGTTCGGACAGATCTACAAGGTGTTAGAGATGGAGCCTCTTCCCTCAAATAAACCATCGCAGAAATATCCGTGGTCTGATAAAGAAGGTGTGTACCTTTTTTTATTCCCCATTGCTGCTCTGCCTGCCCATCCAGTTCTAGATCAGACAAGGCCTTGGCTGTCTTCTCACACTTGTCATGACCTTTCTGGGTGTATTATGTGTTTTCTATGCACTTCTGTAGCACTGCCAGCATCATCAGAAAGGCTGACATATTAATCATAATAAAACTAGCTTCAGTGATGTAGGTATGTTATATACATTTTTTTCTCAGTTTTTTTTATTGACCCTGTCTCCAGTGCCACACTAAGGATTTTAGCTTTAGTGAAATTGCTTTAGGTTGTGCATGCTTTCTGCAGGAAAAAGAGAGACTCACAGAAATCTCATAAGATCTTGAGCTGGCACATAGCCAAAGTGACTTTCGTGGAAAATCGAAAATCGGCCTTTTGAAATTTTGATGCTGACATGGAAAAAGCATTTATGGATTAAGGTGCACGTAGGGCACGATCTGGTATGTCTTCCTCATTGTTTGACTGTTTGCTGGTCTGCCTGTCGGCTCTGTTTATCTTCTCTGTGTGTTCATCCGTCCTGTGCTTGTTCTCTTGTATCGTTTGTTCTCTGTGACATTGCCTTTGTGTGTTTTTGTCATACACAAGTGCCACATGTGTAAGTTGACATAAACATCTCTTGTATTTAGTGATTGATTAGTAATTCTCTCTGTGTTTATCTGTGTCTCTTGATTTTAGGGTTAGGTTTGAAGAGGCCATATGATGATGGAGCAATGGATGACAAGGACCTCATCAAGAAGATGAAGAGGAATCTAAGAAAAGGTACAAGGAGGAAGACAAATCTAATATTGTAGTCTGCTTGTTATATTTTAAAGCCTAACAGTGTATATGATTCAAAGTATGTTATATTAGAAAATGTTCTTTCATCATTCGATTTTCATGATTTTATCTACTGAGAAGCTTCGCTTATCTTCACCTTGTCTCTCTTTTATTGCTCCCTTCCTCTCTTTTTCATTCCTCTGAGACACATCGATGCTATTGATTGTTAACATTTTAGTAGGCCACCCAACCATTCCTAGTATTTTCTTTGTACAAGGAGAAGAGGAACCACAGCTAATCGAGGCAAAGAGGGATTTCTATATATTGGCAAAAAGGAGGAAAGTGATTAAAGGCACCTTTATTCCTCATAAAAAAAACTTGGCAGAATACTGAAAAACATTACAAATTACCCTGATTTTTCTCTACTCTGTCCAATTTCAGCTTTTATAACTTTTGCATTACAGTTTTTAAATGTACCCTGGCTTTATGTCTTACTATTATTCTCTCTTACCTGTTTTTGGCCTTAGTCCTGGACAGTAAAGCCATAGACTCCAACCAACCAATGAACGCCCTGATGCGGCTGAACCAGATCCGGCCAGGGCTGCAGTACCGCCTGCTGTCCCAGTCAGGGCCGGTTCATGCTCCAGTCTTCACCATGTCTGTGGACCTAGATGGAACAGTTTACGAAGCCTCTGGATCCTCTAAGAAGACTGCAAAGCTTCACGTTGCAGTCAAGGTAAGCTTGATTTCTGTGTTTGATTACATTTGTGTCTTTATGTTTTTTAAACATGGTTGGTTAGAAATGTAGCCTCACAGCAAGAAGGTTCTGAGTTCAACTTGCTGGCTGCTGTCTTTCTCTTTAGCAGTTGCATGGCCACAGGTGTGAATGTGAGCGCAGAGGATGTCTATATTTCTATATGTTAACCCTGTGGCAGACTGGCATTGTGTCTAAGGTGCAGCCCTCCTCCCACCACATGACAGCTGGAATAGGCTCCACTAGGAAGAAAATGGATGGATAAAATAACATATAGAGAACAGTAAAAATAGTCTTAATAATTTCTAATGCCTCTCGCGGTTGCTGTGACTTAATGTCTGACATAAGCATTCACTTGGACTCAAGGATGAACTGGCTAAAGGTCACTGTGACCTCAAAATTGTCACTCAACAACACCTTTGCCATTATTCAGTGCCATAACTGAGGAGCAGAAGATTTAGATGGTGAACACATTTTACATTTGATCAAATGCTGAAATAGTGACACTAATTTTTGGGGACCACCTATTCAAGTCTTCAGGCCACATGCCATATGAGTCTGGACGAGCACGGATTTAAACTCCAACTTGACAGGTTGGCAGTAGCCTGAGGCCTCAAGGTGGTAATTTCAGTTGGCTCCCTGAAAAATTTCATAAGTTCCAGCTGACGCCAAACCTGTATGGCTACAAATATGTTTTTGCCTACGTATACCTGCTGATGTGTTTGTGTGTGCGAGGAAAGTTGGAGGTGGGCAAATCCATGTAATCCCAAAGTGGTTGTGAACAAAGAGGCTCTCCAGAGCACCGAGCTGGGATAATCCGCTGTCCGCTCCATTCCCATAAAAGGCTCTTTCTCCCCACCTCTCCTTCTTTTCTGTTCTCCTTCTTGCTCACTTCCTTTCTCTCATGTGCTCATCTTTTGATCTCTCTTTCTCGCCTTCAGTTTCTTTAACTCCTGCTCTCTCACATATACTCTTACTATAGGGGCTGGTTGAGCAGCTGTGACACAATCAACGTCCTTCCCTCCCTTCTTCTCTCCCTGTCTGTGTGCTGCTGTCTTGTCAAGGACTTACATTAAAGTGATATGATACTCAAATCAGCTAACCATTGTACAGCTGAGCCATTAATACTGCAGTATTCCTGCCTCAAGAAGAAATATTGGTTGAAATAGATTCTCAGCATGCTTCTTTAATTCAATCTTTTTTGCCTGATTACACTAATGCAGTCTTCTCAGAATGAAGTGATCTGACGTAAAGGAACATAAGTGAGTTCATCAGAAATCATGTTCATATTGCAAAAGCAATGTAAGATTGTTTGATTAGTCACTTTAAAGGTTTTATTTTTTATTTCGTTGCTTTAATGCATATTAGCCCTTTTAGGTGTCTTTGCCTGCCTTTTTCCTTCCTTTCCTACCTTTATTTTTACTTCCTTGCCTTCGATCTCAAGGTTCTCCAGGCAATGGGCTACCCGACTGGATTTGACTCAGACCTGGACCCCATGAGTTCAGACGAGAAGTCGGACAGTGAGGGGAAGAGCGAGACCTCCTCGCACACTAGCAATAACCCAACACACTCCTCGGACAGTTCCAACACGCTTGAGGTAGGGAATGAGAAGTGTGTGTCAACAAATGAAAGCACACGCTTAGTTCAAATGCTTTTTTTTTTAATCTGGTAAAATTTGATTTGAGCTACTGAAGCATAATAGGAGGTCAGTGTGGTTTAACATGAAACGCACCTAAATCACTGACATTTTCATACCATGCGTCATCTCCCATGTTAACTGTCATATTTGTTATTTTATAAATAAATGAACCCACTTTTAAATTAAGTTACTTTAATACCTTTTCACTCTCCAGGTGCGAACTCAGGGTCCCATACTGACAGCGAGTGGAAAGAATCCTGTCATGGAGCTAAACGAGAAGAGAAGAGGCCTCAAATATGAGCTCATCTCTGAGAGTGGAGGCAGCCACGACAAACGCTTTGTTATGGAGGTGAGAGAAAAATGTTTTTGTTACGGATCTTGTCAAAAGCAAAAGTTTAAAAAAAGAAGTTGCCTTTGAACATTGCCTGCTTTTTCAGTCCTTTTCAGTCAGTCCAGTTTTATAAATCCATATATAGTTATATCTATATATATGCACTAGCCTTATGGCATATGGGTTGTCTGCTCAACCCAGTAAGGAATGCCGGTGTCCCAGGTCAGGCTGTGTTAAAAAAATGTGGTCATACCAAATATTGGCTTTCATCTTGTTAGATTTGTAAAAATTCAGTTTTTACCATATATATTATATTTCTATTTGTGTTTGCACATTTCAATAAATCAGTGCACTTATTTCCTATCAAAATACATGTATAAAGAAATGAGGTCTCAAGCCTTGTGCGCAGTATTGTACACAACCAGAAACAGGCTCATCACCCGGCAGAGTCAGTGGGGTGGTTTGTTTTCCGACATGCCTGGTTGCTCCATCGCTCTGCTGATTGATTAGCAGGCCTGCTTGACAGCAGGGCATCCTTAAACAAGCCGTCCTGTTCAGCAAGACTCGCTGACTGACTCACTGAGGACTTCAAAAAGCGTTGCCTTTGGCCCACATTGTGTGATTTTTTAGCTCTAACAGATTTGTACTATAAAAAGTGTGAATACCCATAGAAAGACCTACATCAATAAAATAAGAGAGAATTAATTGTTTATAAATCACTACAGGTCTAAAATGTAGTATGTTTCTTTTGTTTTTCCCTAAGCATAAAACACATTTCTGTGAATATTTGTGTGCATGTTAGGTGGAGGTCGACGGGCAGAAATTTCGTGGGGCAGGCCCCAACAAAAAGGTAGCAAAGGCCAGCGCTGCCCTAGCAGCTCTGGAAAAACTCTTCTCTGGTCCCAACGCAGCTGCAAACAAGAAGAAGAAGATATTGCCTCAAGTAAGGAGAGACACACTTATGCAGCACAACCCTGACACAGAAGTCCCCAATTAACTCTGTAGCATGTGCATTTACACTGAAACAACAATAAACTATTAAACCAGTCTTTCTGTCCTATTTTGCATTACTGTTAAACTCTTTCTGATCAAAAAGCAGTTGGAGAGTTTGCCCAATGTGTCCCTCTATCAGTAATCAATAACACTTTGTTTAGACTGATTTAACAAGTTTAACAGATCAGTACTTTTATGAGATCACCCCTCTTCCGCGTATGTTGTCAATAACGCTATTTCCCATATAGATCTGTAAAAAATGAGACCCAAGTGCATTAGAACATTGTCAGTGTTACATGCATGTTTGATTTGATATGTTCTTGCAGTGCCGCTGCATTCATGCGGTTCAAACACACATTTTTCTAGCTTTATGGCCAGCTTCTGATCTTGGCATTGTGATTGTTAATATGTGTACTCTGTGCCTGTGTTCAGACCAAAGGAGCCCTGGCAGCAGCAGCAGCAGCCTCAGCAGTAGCAGCTCAGGTTGCCAGAGGAAGAGGAAGAGCAGCCCTAGCAAGAGGAGCCTTCGTCAGTGCAGCTGCACCTGGATATGTCACTCCAGGTAGTGAAGGGATTTTGTGTCTTGTTATTTGACAAAAGAAAAAGTCACCAGTTTGCAACGCTGTAAATGTTGCATTTGTTGTTTTTAGATATAAATCAATAATACACAGTTAGCACAGTTAACCACTTAACATTTTGCATCATAATCTTCATTTTTCTTCTTCGAAAAATGCACATCAAATTATACTGGACATGGTTTTTAACTCAAATCTCTGTTCCCAAGCTTGCCAATATCCCATTTTACCACTGTACAGAATTTCTTGGCTAAACTGTATTTTATATTATATTTTTTATTTGACATGACAGTTTCTGCAGATCTGGCATTTTCTTTTTTTCTTGGCCTTAAAATTCTGACATTTTCCTCTGCTTTAGGCCGCTTACTTATTTTCCTGTGGTTAAAAAAACCCATGCATTTCCCTGTAGCTGTATTGCAAAATATCACAAATACCCTACAGTCACCTATAGAAAAGGGGATAGCAGTAATTTGTTGAGAGCAGATAAACTGTGTAGCATAAAAACCACTGCAAGATTTATCTTCATTATGCTTGAGGAGTACAGCATCTACTTAGGTCTCATACTTTAAACCCATAGCTGTCTGCTAGAATCTGCTAGAAAGTGGCCAAAATAGTCATCTGAAGTTACACAAAAGCTGAAACGTGTGTTAGTTTTGGATTTAACAAGTGCAGAATTGAATTAGACCTTGTAACCTCTTTCCCAACAGGCTTTGGGACACCGTATGGCTACAGCCCTGCTGCAGCAGCTGCTCCTGCGTACGGTACGTGCCTCTTCGCGTCCACTCCTCATCAGCTCAAGCCTCCTTTTTCCACCTGTAACCTCCCTCCATCTCTCGCTCTCTCACTCTCTCTTTTCCTCTCTCTCGCTCTCTCTCTCTCTCTCTCTAGCCATTTGTGGGTAAATTAATGAATCTTCAGTAGGTTTACACTTACAGCCCTTGTCCTCGACTGCTTTTTATATCCATTGCTTCTCTTTTCGCAAAATGATTTTAAAATCTTGACCCCCTTTAAGATCCAAGTTTTAGCGTTAAACATTTAATCTCTTTGTTGTCTTTCTACAATCAGATCTGTGCTTTGGCTAATTGTCCACTCAGTCCGTATGTGTTAATCTGCCTGTTGCCTCTTACACTCTCATCTCTTATGGTTGGACTGCTGCTCTATCAGCACAGAGTGCTGTCGTCTGTTTCCGGCTTTCATCTAAAATCATCCAAAAAACAATCCTGATTGTGTTTATATCAACACATCTTCCGGCATTGCCTTCAAATAGTTTAAATGCAAAAGAGTAGAAAACTATAAAAAATATTTGAATAGTTACCTTGTTTCTTGACTTTTATTAACCTTTTATTAACCTGAGCCCTGTTTGTAGAGCCATCATCCGCATTTCTGTTTAGATTAGCAGAAGGAATAGAACGAGTTCCAATTTTTTTCCCCAGTACTTTTAAGATACACACCAGCTTTCCATCAGTAGGACTGCTGCTACACTGTTTTCTTGTTCTCAGGACATAATATATACTTGACCTTCAATAGCATAGGTATTGGCGAAAAACCCACTCCATACACATATTTACCTTAACAGAGTGAGTCCTGTGCAGTGGGACTTTACATGTAGTACTAGGAGGCCTCGTCGTCCATCTTACAGCCTAGTTTGAAAGGGTCTTATGTGCTAGAAGAAACTACCTTGAGGGCCCCAGGCAGATTTGTAACAACCCCCTGAGAACCCAACATCCCTGAAAATGAAATCCACCTCAGTTATACAGTATGTTTATGAAAGCTGGAACCCAGTGTTAGTTCCCAGGCAGTTTCAACTGGGTTTTTTACATGTTAGTGCAACACCTTTCCTTGCTAAAATAGTCTGCCTTCGCTGGCGTTTTCAAATAGTTATTGTTTACCAAAACAATACATCAGTAGCTGGCCTCATACTAAGCAACTGAAAAACAGTAGTGCATAACTAGGCTATTAAATGCCCTGCATGTTCTGTGGAAGCACATAAATTGCTTCGTACTGTGTGCACCTTTGACCCGTTACTCATCCGAACATGTCACGTATCCTGGCTTGTATAACTAGTCCTGACCTTGAACTTACTCTGCACCTTCCCACAAGTAAGTAGGAAGTTCAGTGGAGATTAAAAATATGCATTGAACTAGATAAAAAATATAGACACGAAATGTTTCATCCACACAATTTGCAACAGCACAACGTTTGATATCTCTCTTTAGTGTTTTGGTCTCTATCGCTGCACGTGTATTCTTGGACCCTGAAAAAAAATAGCTCTGCAAGAATAACAGGTAAAAAAATAAAAAGCAACTTTTGGCTGCTCACTTATTCGCAGGGGGTCGCCACAGCAGGTAGCTCTGCGTGTTTGATTTGGCAGATTTTTACACCGGATGCCCTTCCTGACGCAACCCCAAAGTCACTTGTGTCTCCTCGCTGTTCAAAAATATTTCCCTTCTAACAGGCCTTGATGCAGCCTGATAGTGTAGCTCCACTCAATCTAAGGCCACACTTACTTTAGGCTATCTATCTTCTGATTATTCCATAAGCTGTTAGATTTATTACTACAGTGTCAGTTACGGAACAATGCGAGCACCAGCTTCTGTTTCATTACCTATTTTTCAGGTGATTCTTTCTCTTTATTTTACCCCTTCATTCCTAATTTTAAAGCCTTGATCATCATTATTAACATTACCAGTGTACACACTAGTGTTATTGTTGCGATCAAGAGCAATTATCGGATTAGTCACACTGATTAAACCATTTTTTTTTTAATTCTAGTGCAACCTGGCGTAATTATTACTGCCTTTACAATCTAGAAAAAAATCTAGGAAAATCTCGTCTGATTGTCTAAAGGCCCTGCTGGTCACCATATTCCAAATCATAATAAATAACGGGATTGTGAAATCAACGCTTTTAAATTGACTCAAATAGACTGAACTTAACAGAATTGTACAAAATTAAACTTTAGCTTTTCTTTTTAACTCCCGCTTTGTCTTCTGTGGTAAACCACTAATAAAGGCTGTCACCTCGTGTGCATACATTCCTGCTTTTTCTCACGCAGTTACACTTCTACCTCTGGGAACCTGCTTGTCTAGTGTGACGGGTGTTTGATGGACATGCTCTTAGCATAGTGAGCATTGGTTATTTGTTCCCCAGAACTCATGCAGAGCTATGCTCTTCTCATGTCTCCCCTCTAGGTTTGCCCAAGAGAATGCTTCTGTTGCCTGTCATGAAAGTGCCCGCCTACCCCGTCCCCCACTACCACTTCTTTTAGCATAAGAGACACGCCATACCAAAATGCACCTAGGTTTTCTGTAGAAGGGAGACAGTTTTTTTTTCTTGTTCTTTTTTACAGTATGACGAAGGGGAAAGGATTAAGGACTTGAGCTGAAGATTTGTAAAAGTGCTTTTTTGCTTATTTTATATTGTTTTTGGTTCCAAAAACTTTTATGAATATTAAAAACCCTGCAGGTTTTAAGTTCTTAAGATATAAAAACATTTAAAAACTTGAAGGATTTGTACTGTGAATTGTTACCTCATTCTATGAGTCTAAATAGTAATATATCTATCGATCCATATTTCTATCGATATATATATATATATATTTAGCCTTTTGTTATTTTGTTCTTTCCTTGCTAAAGACGATGATATCCTTTGCAATATGACACACACATCACACATATTCTGTGTACAAAGAAAATAATGTGAGTGGTGTGAAAGTTGTATAGGAATAAATCATCAATGCTGCAAAATAAAGTTTATCTTCAATAAAAGCTGAACAGCTCCTGTTGTATATCTCATTTAAAGGCTTTCAGCTAAGAAGGAACTTATTAGAGTAGCGCCTTCCTCTTTGGTTCTGTTTGGACTGGATTTGTACTTATGTCACCTAACGTAGACAGATTTACCTATCCTTTTTCAAACCTGCAAATAGTACTATAAAACCTACACTATTAAACCTATAAATAGTACTAGTACTGTTAATATTCCAAGCTCATGCATTTGCAAATATTGAATTTCAGTACCTCGTCACCTCTCAATTCATCTCTTTGACCTTCAGCTTAAAGATTACTCAGAGAAAAAGACAAAGATGACATGATGAATTTAGAACGCCCTAGTTAGATCCTCCATCTTGCATTCAGCGGCACGATCTCATTACTGCATGTGGAATTAATATTCGGCAGGTTTCCCGCAGCTCTCAGAGTTAGCGCCTACAGTATTGCATTTGTTGTAATGTAAGCTAACGGCAGTCTTTTGCAACAGAAGAATACTGACATTGCTTAAAAGGACCTCACTAGCATAAATCATCCTACAAATAATAAACTTAATATGTTCTGCACAGACATTTAAATCAGTGTTTTTCATCTTTGCCTGACATTCGAGTTGTAGCTCCGTGAATCATACTTCACCGTCAGCATTTTCATGTTGTTGTTTCATAATTTTCAGTGTCATTGTCAGTATGGTTTGTTGTGTTTGCTCATTTTTTTTCCTCGATGCTAAGCACCAGCACCAATAATACCACTAAAACCTGGGCTTAAAACTATCCTCTATAAGATGATTGTAAAGAAAAAAAACAGTCTTTATAAATAATAACTAAGAGGAAAATGGCTCCATGTAAATAGAGTGCAGTGAAGGTGAAACTCAAGCTTATTCCATCAACACACCAGTCAAAGAGTGCCAATCGAGACAGAGTTCTGCCCGTGGCCCTTCAACCACGTCTTGGTCATCCAACCAGCAAGTGATAACCACACCCCCCTTCGAGGACGTCTCCATGGTTACGGCTATGAGGCGCAGCCATTGGATGAGAGGACCCAATGTCTTGTCCAATGGTTGGTTGAGCTCCTCTGAGTTGTTATAAAGCCCTTAAATAATCTCTGTCCTTCTGGAGACGTTAACTTCAATCTCACACGATTGAACACTATTACCACTTCTTCCATTTTGTGTTTGTTTTTTTCTCTTATTCTTTTTGTTCAGGTTGATATTATTTCAATGCATAAAGACCCAAAGATCCATAGAGAATATTTACTGGTTTTGATATTTAGGGAAATATGTTTTATGGCTTTGTTGCACTTTAAGTTAGTTAGTTTAACATAAAGATTGTAAGCAGGGGGAACAGCTAGCCAAGCTAAGCTCAGGAGCTCGCATTGTAGAAATGTGGCTGAAATTAAAGCAGCAGAAACTAAATTATCATGATTTTTAGTGTCTTACTCTGCACCTTTACAGGACATGGGCATAGAATCCCCAGGGGTGTCCAATTATATCTGCCACCTGGACACCAGCAGACAACCCTTTGAGTCTGGTTGCAGGGTGGTGCCACCAAGGATCAGGCTTGTTCTTGGACTGTGCAGCCTGAATTAAAAGCTTGGGTTCTTTGTTGTGTTCCCCCAGCCTTTCCTCAGCAGTTTTTGCAGTGTAATAAGGCACATTGTCTTTCTGTCCTATCACGATGGTCCGACCCAGTGAGACAGACCTTTAACTAGACACTTCTTTTAATGTTCTGACTGGAAAATGTACATTTCTTCTAAAGCAACCAGTTTTCTTCTGAAAAATCAGCTCCACAGCCACGAGAGGTATTACAGATCCTAATAACACAATTTAGCACAGTGTGTTAAATAAACTAAAAGTGTAACTATTAGTCTTCCTGGCGCCCCTAGATCCTATTTTTGGAAGAGAGAGGCTCGCTGTTTCCCCCTGTTACTAGTATTTTTGCTAAACTAAGTGTCCTTTGGATGCATCTTCATATTCATTAGACAAGCGGCATTGATCTTCTCATCTTCTTATCTTCCAAAAAAGCCATTAAGAATATTTCCCAAAGTGTTTTGACTATTGCTTTAATTTAATATACAGGACATTTCTACACACATTTCTACATTCTGCGCTATTTTAAATACACTCATATAGTTAATATACTTATATACCACTTTAAAAAAGTGTTTTAAAAAAGTGTACTAATTAATCAATCTTCCTTTTTCTCTGATCTTCGTCACTGCAGGTGGTCTATTTATTGACAATCCTTTCTACCAGCCGCGCACCATCGCTCCTTTTATCATTCATCTGGGTCCACAGGATCTCTTCTCTGACTTCTAGAGGCAGCACATTGTTGGAGGCGCTCTTTACACTTACCTGGCTGCACACATGCCCATCTGTTTCTCCGTCTAATGCGGGCTGCCTTTGAATCCCAGCTGATGGATTCACACATTCAGAACGGTTTCAGTTTGATCAGTCTACTGACGAAACTTTCCTCCTGAGAAAAAAAGAAAAGGCAGAAACTATCTGAACCATCGACCGAGAGGCACAAAGCACCTCTTTCTGTTTCCTCGTCTCTTCACCCAGATCATCTCCTCAGAGGAGAGCGACTTTACAACAAGCAATACTCGGATTTTACGAGAAACGTTCAGCTGTGACTGTGCAGGGCTGGGCTGGTCTTTCTTATAGCAATACACCTGAACTCCTCTCTTTGAGCTTACTTACTTACTTGAGAAGATGTGAATGTCCAACAAAGTTTTACCCAACACAGCATTGCAATAGCTTATTTTGATTGTATATTCAATGTATGTGTGCGTGTGGCTATAATATAACACATATATACACACACACATATATGTATGGTGTATTTCTATAACAATGTGTTGACAATATTAGTATATGATGATGTATTTATGTAAATACTCTATAAAATATAACTATTGTTGTTATAAATTATTTTAGAATTATAAAGTGTAATGTAACTGTAATATCACAGTATAGCTTTCTTCCAATTTTATATACACTGAGCAATTGAAGCTAGTTCTAGGAGAGGCAATATTATCTTTGGTATTCCTATAACCTGTGCTGTTAGAATAATAATGCTTCCTTCTTTCCTTCCTTCCTACTTTTCCTCTATCTTTGATGTCTTTCTGAGCCTTTCTGAGCACGCTCTCTGCTGCCCGAGGTTTGTTTACACTGCCCGGACCAGAGGTGCTCGCTACTGAACACACTTATAACCACACACTGACACACAGACAAACGCACACTATTCCTGTCAGAAAGCACATTTTCTATAGTCTCATTGCTGGCAGGGAATACTGTTGTTACAGTATGTGTATGCTTGGATGTACACGCTCCTCCCTCTTCCATTAATGGACACACCACCACCTCGGCACAGATCACACATCAGCTCCGTCCCGCAAGCCTTATAGGGACCAAAAGCACAGCTCACTGGCACTTCACTGTTTCTTCTTTCTGCAGACACACACATTCACACACATTGTTTCCTCCAGCTCTCTGTGGCTGTTCTCTGCTGAATGGAAGTGATGCTGCTGGTAGCGAAAACACATGAGCATCTTACAGGTTGGGAAAGATACAATACAAATTAATATTTGGGACAGTTTTTTCACAGAAATGTGATTTGGGTCATCAGGAGTTTGGACTGAGAATGCAGTTTAATCATCGTTGTACATGAACGTAGTTATTAGTGTCAAAGCTGTCTTTGGCCTCATGTTACCTTACCTGAAAATAATTTAAGTATCAGATTCGCATTTGGTGTTCAGCTCAGTTGTATAAGGGAAGAAAAAGTTCAATCTGTGGATATGGTCATAGCCATGTGTCTCTAAATATTGAGGCTAAGATGACCAGGTCAATGACCACAAACTTTTGACATAATTCTACAGTAAAGGAAGGCAAATTAGCTTTTCATGTCATCCTAAAATTTTGAGTAGTTGATTGTGTAGTACTACTGTTATAGCACAATTTATGTCATAAAATTACTGGCAGTTTAGGTAACTGTAAATTCTAAAGCAGTCCATTCAGATTCTGTTTGGATTTGATTTTGCGGCATCAAATGAAGAACAATCCCTCCAAATCAGCTGATATCAGTGCCAGCCCACGTCTGCTGGTTATACACAGCCAAGTGGTTAATCTCATGTAAACTTCACTGTTTGAGGCTGTAGTCACTCAGACCTAGAGACTGGTAAATGACCCCGTGGCTTATGGTTGCTTTGGTTGCAGATGAACCTATCCCCTTTTTAAGTTTGCGTGACACTTACTTCATGTTCACTACCGCTTGGACAGCAGTCGGTTGAGTGTTTGCGGACAAATCTGCTTCTGCACCCAAATTATAGGCAACCTGTTAGTGACGAATTACAAGGAGGTTTTCAGTACGTCACTCTGTCTGTGATCGATTTCACCGGGCAGTGGCCGTCAACCATTCACTCAATACACACGTTTCCCTATCTATGGAAGGTTGCCTGTCTCTAGGCTTGTGTGGCTTGTGCACCTCTGCAGGCCACTTTGCAAACCACTTTCACCCCCAAACCACATTTCATCCCGTATCTGACTTAATTAGTGTGTATGTGATCAATATGTTCGATAGTTTAAGACTTGTCATTGATGGCTGATCTGTACAAGGGATCTTGCCCACAACACAAAATGTAAATCGCCGTTGCTGTGCATGATGTTTGGGGGGTTTTTTTGTTTCTCACATGGTTTTGAAGATTTTTTTATCGCTGTTCTTTCTTATTTTTAACCTTTAGTAGAGAGAAGATGTCAGTCAGCAGAAGCTACAAAATGTGCATCAAAAACCTTTGATTCTCCTCACATTCGCCTTGATCTGGGCGCAAGTTTGATCTCCTGTGTTTCTGCTGGCTTTGATTCAACAAAAAAAAGACATCTGAGAAAAAGCCGATAGACACAGCATGACTCTAAAGTCAGCGTTTCTAAACAATAAGCCGAATTAGAGTGAGATTTTGCGACATTACTACGCTGAAAATGAAAATAACTTGACAATTTTTGCAAGGATGGTGATAATTGTCGTGCGACTGAGAGGTCGAGTAGCAAAATGGAGGCTGTTGTGTACTTCCTGTTCCCATAATGTGTCTATAATCTCTAATATACGGTTATTAAATCTTCAATCTTTCGTTTACAGTTGTTTGAAATCCTAATGACAGCCTGGCTTTACAAGAGTAAATATTACTGCTCTGACATGGAGCACAATTAAGTTAAGATGTCTCACACAAACTAGATCTCGATTTATTAATTGACTGTGGGTCTTTGCTGTGAATGACTGTTTCTTGCTTTTCAATCTTTTTATAGTGGTTTTCCATTAAAGAAGAGAGCCGCTCTTGTTTGATCTCTAAAAGTGTAGAATAAAGTTTAGAGCAGGCTTTGCTCTTACTTTTCATTTACATGGGGAATTCACGTGGAGGTGAATAACTTTGAGGTTAGCTGTGTGGAAACAGACCTCTATCAGCTGAGAATTTCTTCTAAAATGCCCTCCTAACTGCCCTGCCTTCATCTCCCCCTCTCTGCCCCTTTCTCACTCTCCAGATGGTCCACATTAATAAGGCAGACAGTCATACCTCAGTGAGCAACCTTTTCATTTCCCCTCAGATGGTACAGACACATTGGAGGAGTCACCCTGACTACTGACCCAGTCCTTTTAGTCTGTTGGCCGGACAACCGTATTCAGACGAAGGGTGGCGAGGTTGAGAGCACAGAGAAAGCGGGTCAGTCTAAACCTGGCACAGGCAGCTTAGCAGGAATGTGCAGGCAGTGGCTCCTCCAGTCAGCAGTATTTTTTATTTATTGGGGAGCTGCTGTCTCCTAAATGATACCACTATATCTAAAAGCATATTTTTTTCTTAGTAATCTAGTAAGGAGATGAGAAATCTGCTTGATGTTTCAGCTGAGAAAATATACTCCAAGTATCCAAGTTGTTTGGGGATTTAAAAGAAATTATCAAGAGAGAGAGAAAAATAAGAAGAAAGAGGAAAGAATTCAAAATATACTTAAATATAGTATATTGAGAGACTGAAGGGAGGCTGACTGATGAACTGACTAGATATCTTCCGCTTTTATTAGGTCAGTGACAAAACCAGCCGTACTCCACCAAAGTGTCTCAGAATAGAAAATATTGCAGTGATGTGTTTTTTCTGGAAACACTTATGAGCGGCTTGAAAAGAAATGTCAGTGTGAATAATGTTTTAGAACATACTGGTTGTCTTTTCTGGATTCCAGTCCCACTGATGGATGTCATTCCTACTCTAGTAGTCCCCAAGATCACTATAAACGAGTAAACAGCGGCACACAGATACATCCCTGTTATTCTGCATCTACACTGCCTCTGGTGGGCGTTCAACAAAAACTACACCTGTAAATCTAAAAAGCACAAAAGACGCACGAGCAATACACTCACGCATTGTACTCAGGGCTACCTGACACGCACGTGTATGCAACAAGACAAACACACACAGAAGCACACATGTACTCAAACGTGTAAATATTTCAGCTTTTACCGACAATAACAGCCAAGCGCACTGAGTCGACATGACACTCTTTGCTCCATGGATTGAGTATTTGTGAACTATGTGAGTCACACAAGTGGTTGGACCTTGTTTGTACATTAGGATATGAGCCATGTATAGCTGAGAAAACACACCCACACCTGCTCCATTTATTAGTGCTTTATACTAGGCTGTCTGTAGCACTGTACATACATTGCTTTTTTGTTGAAATGGCAGTTACCTGTGTGATAAATTAAGCTATCAGAAGAAAAGAAGAAAGAGTGTTGTCTCCAAAAAGTGGCAACACATGCAGGAGATTTGAGTGTTTAAATTCTGCGATAGGTTCAATGGTTTAAGAGATCGGAGAGATTTTGCTCCCCGTTTATATCTGGAGATATAGCCATGTTTCCCAAAGGCCCCTCTTCTCCTCCTGCCAGATCAAAAAGGAAAATGCATGAATGCCTTTGGAAAACAAGGAGGGGTTTTTTTCCCTACACGATGGGATTCATCTACACACCAAAGACTACGAAGCCTTTGCTTCACAAATCTGATCATCCTGCAGTCTCAGAAGTGAGAGATGTGATCTGTCTAGACAGTTATGAAATGTCAGGAAAGAAGGGGGAAAAAGAATGCTCTCCTGTGTGTAAATCTGAAAGAAAACCTGTCTTGCTCACTCTTGCATTAGCACAGAAAGTTGGGGTTTAAATCTGGGGATCATGCTAAATTTGTCTGGAAGCAACGAGAGAAGTGCCGTAGGAAGACCCGGAAAGTCCATCCGCAAGTGATTCTGAAACTCTGCAGCGCTGCAGAAATAGATCCTGGATTATGTTTCCACTGCTTAGGCACAGACTAACTGCAGAACAGATCATTTTCTCTGGGTGTGTGCGTTTATGTCAGAGGGTGGGGCGATGGGGTATGTATTAACACACCCACATGCAGACGCATGCATACACACATACATATACAGCACTGCAGTCACATCAAGCATGTTGTTGCATACTTCCTGGTCATAATTCATGGATTGTTCACGTCCATCGTCCTCCTGATAAATGATCAAAGTCTTTTGGTTGGGAATGTACACAGTCGTTATGGTGATTGTAGAGTAGAATGTATTTACTCGTATAAAGAGTAAACTTGTTTTTTGTAGAGAAGCATATATACAGAATATATATGGATAAATACATATATATACATCTATATATCTTTTGAACTACTTGTGTGTAAGGGTTGTTTTGGGTGCATCTACCCTGTTAGGATTCATATTTCTTTTTCCCCTTTTTTTAATTTTTAATAATGATGTTTTGGCAAAAATAGCATCTCATGAGTGATGATTGTTTTCTTTTTCCTGTAAATATCTTCCTTTTTTTTTGTCTTTGACCAAAAGGGGAATAAAATACACCGTTTTATGATGCTGCCTATGAATTGATGAAGTGATATCTGCTCACAGAATCTATTTGTTCCATTAAATGATCAAAGTTACATTTTGTGAAACTCTACAAGGTTCTGCTTAACAGAGGCCACTGATAAAGAATGACAAGCGTGATTTGAACTCGCTGTATAGTTTGCTTTAATTAGTAGCAGCATTAACATCAGTGATGATCTGTGGTTGTCACTGTTCTTGACATACAGTAACCAATGCTTGATGAACTGAAAATAAAACTGAGAAAGTGCTAAAATCAATATCTGAGTATCTTTTTTTTATTTGTCTCACACTGATGCCTATCAAAAGGGTCTGACCATAAAATAGATCTAGATTTTTATCTAAAATACATTACTGTGCAATAGTCTTGAAACAACATCATTTATTTGTATTTTGTTATGAACATGGGAAATGTGTACATCAGGGATGTCATACAGATTTTACATGGTGGGCCACGTACAGCTCACTTTGTTTCTACGTGGGATGGACCAGTGAACATTTCTGTCAGTGTTTAATCCCTGAGATGTCTGAATATAAGGTAAAGAAGTTCAACTGTATTTTTTAGTTTTCCTACATAATAATTGTAAGAAATGTCTAAAATTACAGAAAAAAACATTTTACTGAAATTCCTATAGAAGATCATTAAACAAACTGGGACTTTACTATCATTTAATTGCTTATCTGTTATTTAATTACTAGGTCTTTAGCAATAGAAGCTGCAAACCAATTTAAAATTTGATATTGGACGTTGGCTGCCTTATGTTTCATTCTCTGTCAAGATGATCCCACACTGCTTCAATATTGTTGAGGTCCAGGCTCTGGAGAGGCCAATCTATTACTGATAGTTTCTATCCAGGTATGCTTTTTATTGTCTGTGTGTTTAGGATCATTGTCATGCTGAAAAATGAAAGCAGTTTCAAGTCAGATGCTTTAAAGATGGAGGATCTTTATGTTTCTTTATGTCACGCCATAATGTCAGACTCAAGGTTATGGACAATAATTGGTAAGTTTCTCTAAGAGTTTCAGCACATAGTGGTTTAGAAACATAAGCTGTCAGTCCTCTCTAAAGCAGTACTGCTTATGGCTGAGTCTGAGTATCCAGTGACATCTCCAGTAGTCAACACCATCAACGCACAGCCATAGCCGCCAATCATCCAACACAGCAATAAGTGTCTGTGCGTGCTGTTTCCTAAAAAAACAACAGAGAAAAACGACATGCCTTTTTCATCTGACAGAAAGCAAAGAGGACAGCAAGGACGACGTCTAAACTCGCCAGACTATGACAGCCATCCTGACAAATTAAACCCTGCTCAGTATTAGTACATTGTGTCAATTGTGGTAGAATTAATGCATTAATTCAGGCTTAAAGTACTGTTTTATGGTATTATTTTCCCTTGAAAATGCAGACAGAGGTGTCAGAAATCTGAATGGGATGCTCCATTTGCATGCCAGCTCCCATTAACATGATAAAACCTTAATACAATGAAACAACTGTCTTCTATAAAGACTTGTTTTACAATGACTGCTCAGAAGTAGAGGAGGATGTACGTGATTAAAAATTAACTGAAGCAGAAACACCACAGTTTGAAACCTGGCTTTGTGCACGCTCGCTTATGTACACACTAATCTGGAAAACTAATAAGACTCAATATAATACCAGAGTCATCTGTATGCTAGGTGCAGACTCATACACTGTGGGGTAATAAATGACCTTGGACTGCTGACAACTTTTTGGGATGGCCTGTATTGTATTTCAGCTGGTAACAAGAAACGACGATATGCTCACAAATCAGATTAATTGGACAGGACTCATTCCTCTCCCCCTGACAGAGGACATCAGTGCCTGTTTATAGATGACAACATTGCTGGTGAAGATTTAACAAGGCCAGCAAACAGCTAAAGCCAACACAACATCAAATATCAGCTCTACATTTAGAGTAGCTATTTTATTCGAATGCCACAACCACACGGGATCTAAACCCAGATTGTATGGTTGGTAAACTGTGTGATAATTCTAGCATATTTTGACAAATATAAGACTGACTGGTCTGCAGTTTTATTTCTTCATTTGAGCAAAATAGGTCCATTTTAATTAAGCTGGTGTTTATGGGTGGTCTGCGGTTCGATCCCTGGCTGCATCACAAAGTATCCTAGGGCAAGATACCAAAGCCAGATTTGCTCCTGATGCATTCTTTGGTGTGTTAGTTTTAGATAGATGAAGAAAAAAGTGTGTGAATAGGTGATTGAGACATGTTGTGCAAAGCACAAGCACATGTCATCACACCTCTAACTACAGTGAGGAAGCAGAAAACTATCTATTCTTCTTTACTTACTTATTTGGCTATGTTTGGCTTACTGTGTAAGATTATCAACAATCTATTGCCACAACCACATAAACAGTTTGTAACAAAATATACACACTTTATTACTTACCCCTTGGTAGTACTGGTTTGGTCCCCTTTTTTCATCATTCATGGCATGACTTCAGAAGGTACCAAACATTCATCAGAGATTTTGGTTCATGTTGACATGACGGCATCATGCAGTTGCTGCAGATTTGTCAGCTAACTGATTGGAATCTCCTGTTCTACCACATCCCAGATGTGCTCTATTGGACAACCATCAACAGCCTGAACTGCTGATACAGAATAGGATGGATTTATTCTTTCATGTTGAAATTTGGACCTTTCCATCTGAATGTCCCAGCAGAATCAAGACTCATCAGACCAGGAAACATTTTCCAATCTTCTATGGTCCAGTTCTGGTGAGCACATATGAATTGTAGCCTCAGTTTCCCATCTGGTCTTCTGTTGCTGGAGCCCATCTAGGTTCAATGTGTTGTGCATTCAGAGATGCATACCCTCATGTAACAAGTGGTTATTTGACTTACTGTTGTTGTTCTGTCAGCCTGAAACAATCTGACCATTCTCCTGTGACCTCTGGCAGTGCAGAGAGCAGCTCTAACATCTTTACAATAACACGTATAAATCCAGATCTTTATTCCTATTTGCTAACACATTTGAAACCTCAGTAATTTAATTGAAACATTACCACCTTTGACTTTTATAAAAATCATATTTCTCAGTCCATTTTCCTAATGTGAGCTCAGTAAAATCATATTTCTCAGTCCATTTTCCTAATGTGAGCTCAGTACACAGCGACCTCATGTATAAGAAAATCAAGTCCAAATATAAAGGTGCAGATTTGGTGGATTTGTCTACTGAGACTGATAGGAGAAGGCACCTAGTCCATCTGATATACACAAAATCACGACTGGCAAATGTTTTAGACAGGAAGTTTTCATTATTTTTCCTCAACACTCCAAATCAAACTCAAAAACCATGATAATCAAATGTCACGGCTCTCGGCTTCCTGCGAGAATACCCTCAGGCTTAATTATTCATTAAGAAGGCAATGATAGCAGAGTAATTGGCCACAACAAAGATGTGTGAAATTTTAACCGAAGCACATATATTTCCTGAAGCGGTGGAGGGTTTGCATTCTCCACAATCCTCACCTGAGCAAATGAGGCAGCAGAGATGAAACTAACAAGATCCACCGCTCAGGATTTTCACCTGAAAATATCCAAACATTCACACACCATCCATAAAGGAAGAGGCTGAGTGTTATGTAAAAATTAGATTACAACTGAGTGTGAATAAGTGACCACTCATTTCTTTGTCTCCTTTCCCTTCCGTCAATAAGAGCAAAATAGGAAACACAAACAGATACATGATCGATGAAACAGAGAGCAGGGGGGAAGTCAAAATAGCTGCAGAGAGATTAAAAATAAAACCACAGACAACTAGCATCTTGGATCAAACAGCTAAATCCTTTATGTATAAATGTTTTTCAAGAGCCTTATTAGCCAATATATATACCAACTAGGGGTGCAATGATGCACAAAATTCACAGTTCGGTTCGATACTTTGGTGTCACGGTTCGATATTTTTTCGATACAAAAAATGTTCATGCCTTTTTAATTTATCATTTATTAAAATTATAAATATATATTTTAACCCAAAAGTACAGTTTTTAAATGTAATGTTGCTGAAACAACAAAATAAAAAAAATAAATCTATCTGATCGAGAAATCACTCATCTTTGGAAAAGAGAGTTTATTACAGAGAAATGGCTCTCAGGAGAATCATGTGGCTGTCTAAATGACTCGGGTAAAGTTAGTAGCATGCGTGCTTGTTGTTTTTGTCTGCTTCCACTTGTCTTTGCACTAGGATGATGTCGGTGTAAATGTGCAGTCATATTCGTTGTGTTCCCACTAGTGCTGTCAGCGTTAATCTTGTTAAAATGACCTTAACGCCATAACACGGCAAATCTCCGTTAACGAGTTACCGCAGATCGCCCCGTGCGTGGGGCTGGACGGTGTCAACACGTTAACGAGCTAACTGCGCTAACACACTAGCTCCCACCAATGAGCATTGCGTGGCACATCCGACATACTGTTTTTCTTTTGTCCATGACGCGCTTACCATCAGGGTCATGCTTCACATGAAAACCAAGATAGTTCCGAACACCAGATCTGAATGAGGGTGGGGTAGGTTCAATTTCAGGTAGCGTTGAGGCAATAGCCATGTTGCAATGAGATTAGCTTCTGTCTTGCTAGCTTGCGCTGCGCTCAGTGCAGCCTAGGCGGAGTAGTCGAACGCAGATCCACTGAGCGCTCAACACGGACAGCATTGTCAGAAGGAAAGTTGATAAAATAAATTACAAATTTTGTATTGTTCGATACATATGCGTACCGAACCAAAAGCACTGTATCGAACGGTTCAATATCGATACGAGTATCATTGCACCCCTAATACCAACTACTTATTTTACTTATGATGTAGCCTGCTTTCCAGCTAGCTAACATGACTGAAGAGCTTGATTTTATTTGCCAAAGTATTTAAATTATTAATACACCCAGTGATTAAAGTGGGATATCAGAGGTAGGGAAACCCTAAGATTGGGAGTAGCAATGCAGTGTGAGGATAATAATCACTTAGAAATCCATCTATCCACTTATCCTTTTCAGGGTCATGGAGCCTATCCCTGCTGTCTTAGGGCAAGAGGCAGGATACAACCTGGACAGGTCGTCAGTCTGTCGAAGGGCTAATCACTTAGAAATGATTCAGTTAATAATTCCAGCAAATTTTCTTTGCTTACAGGCTGTGATCACGTGTCCTGTGCTACTAATATTCAATGCTATTTGTGGATCTAACGACCTGAATTCAACAAGATATAAGCAGATGAGCCATACGGCTTATTTCCCATAGCACACAAGGTACAGTTCAGCGAGTGAATCCAATATGAATTTAAACTCTAAAGAGTCAGACATTTTCACATATTTATTAAATTAAAATTCTGAAAGTCTAAAAGTTCTTGCAGATCTCCAGATATGCTACTCTGCAGAAACAGCTTTCATCAAAGCAGTAGTTGACAGTAGATTCCTGTAAAGGAATTCCTGTAGGGATCTACTGTGGTGGAATATTTTTTATTACATACTAAATTTGCTGCATTTACTGCTGTTGAATTTATGAATT